CACCCTATCTTCATTTTCAGGGAATTGCCCAGTCATGTAGTACCTGACCAGATCATCCATCCAAACATCATCTGGTTCCACTAGATCCAAATTTGGAATATCACCACTTGGTGTACACCAAGTCGTATATCAAGGGGTTGCACCACCATTCTCATGACTCACATTGATATTTTACAATTACATTGATATTTTGCGCCAATGTCAACCATCAAAGTGTTGGCCTAACAAAAGGGCATGCACGTAGGATTATAGTTATTTTAAAGTATGAACATGATTTCTTTCTAAGTCACTTAATTTTTGGGGTATCATAATATCCAACACAATGCCAATTGTTGGTAATTTGTGTCATCGACTATTTTATGTAATTTGATTTACTTAGACTGGACTTGAATTTTATAGACATTCTAACGAGTTAGGTGGCGGAGTGCACGCTCATTTAACAATATTATAAATTTCGTAGTGGGGTCCAAGGGGCGGCATCCCCTGACGGGGTGTCTAAGGAACAGAGCCCTTGGCTGTGGTTGATTTACGGAAAATTTTATTTTGGACATTGTTGCTTTACGGAAATCTTTTGGATTTTCGTAAACAGTATCAAAATAAGGAAACATTCAAATGCATAAATTCATACATTCGAATGTAATGTTAATCTCTAGTGTTCCTTACTAAAAGACCCACTACATTCTGTTAAAATGCATGAGTTCAACCCTTTTTGTGTTATTTAGTGTTGACTCACAGGTCTTGATAATTGAAAAACACAAGTTACACAAGTCAAGATTAAAATGCTACATCGACAAACACGAAGACTTGAAGTATAAATTTTTTGAAATATTCAAGATGGTGCACAAGATTTAAATGGAGACCAAGACACATTCGGAGCGCTAACGGAGGAGTAGAAGATTTTCGAAGACTTTTTAATTTATTTGAATCTTATGAAATATTGAAAGGATAACAAGAACAATCCTCTCTCTAAAATTATTTTTATAAGAGTTAAAATAAAAATTATATTTATTTTTGGAGTCAATTGAAAAATCTTTTAACTGTTAAAAAAAACTTTTATTGAGCCAGATACAAAAGGTGCGTCAAACATTTATCAAAATATTTATTTTGATATTAGAAAATAGTTTTGGTAAGCAAAATATTTTATTCAAATATTTTTCGTGTACATCGTTTGACACACAAAATATTTTTGGGACTCATTTTCTATACCGAAAATTCCTTCAAATATTCAAATTTGAATTTGAATATATTGGAATTATTTGGGAGCCTTCTCACTTCACTTCATGTCCCCAAACCAACCATAACCTCCAAAACATGTTTCCAACTCGCACACATGCCTTGGGGCATTCATGTTTGAGAATTATCCGTCAGTGGATCGATCCCATGACTAGATCGATCACACAAGTTTTCTTCTTGCAGAGATATTCCTACGGTGGATCGATCCAAGGCATAGGACCAATCCCCCAAACTCAGCTCAGAATTTCATCTTCATTTTGCATCCAATCTGGATCGATCCAATGGCTTGGATCGATCACCTGTGGATCAATCACGTCCTGGATCAATCCTCTGAGCTGAAACTTGTCAAAATAATTTCATTTGTTTCCCCAACAGATATATTCTTTCAACCCCTATTTAATCACCATTCCTTGGTGATTTTCTGCATGAACAAACACTCCTAAACTCCCCTATCTTGAGGTTATAATCCTCCATTCTATTCTTCCTCAAATTCATGTATTTTTAGAGAAAACTATTTATTTTCAAGAGTGTTCTTATCATCCATAGTGTTTAATCATTTTCTCATTTCTACTCATGTGAGAGTCTTTGTTGAGAGATTGAAGAAGATTGTTTTTCTTGTTGTACAAGACTTATGTGACTTAAATCTTGTAGAGGTGCAATATACGAGCAGTTGTATTGAGGCTTGTGGGATTCAAGTTCTCATGCTATAACGATTTGTTAACCACTCGTAAGCATAACGAAAGTAGTGGTAGCTTTGAGAGAGTCTCGGGGAACTGGACGTAACCACACGTTGTGGTGAACCAATGTATATCTGTGTGTTCTTTGCCTTCTCTCTTTTATTTTCGCTGTACTTTCATTTATCTTATTTCCGCTGCATACATTCAAATGTTCTGCGTATAGTTGTGTTGCTTTGTCAAGACTGTTGAGTCCAAAATATTCACTAATTATTCTCTACCAAATCAGTATTTTCGGGCATTAAAAAGTGCATTTTTACACTAAAATGATCATATTTGCATTCTAGGCATAGTTTTTAAAATATGTTCATAATGCACACTTTTCAGTTTATTTTTGAATACCATTGTTGTGGACCCAAATTCTCCTTGACAAAGGTTATTAGATATATCTTTGGAGCATAAAGTGCGGGCTGAAAATGTGAAAGCAATCCAGGCCCAAGATGACAAAGCCCAAAGGTCCACCTCCAATACACACAAGAAGTAGAAGTTTGAGAGCAGCTGCGTAAAAAAGAGAAAAAGAGAGAGACGTGTGAGACAGAAGAGCCGAAGACTCCCTCTTCTACTGCTGTTCGGCTCTTCAACGCAACTGGAACCGGAGAAATCGCGAAGCACAGCTGGAGGGCAGCGCCAATTCAGAAGTGAAGAATCCTAATCCCAGACGGAAGAGGCAAAGCCAGCGCCTATAAATTGAAGGAGACGCTGCGAAGAACATGACCACCACCGATCAAGAGTAAAAATCAGAGCTAGAATCAAAGGGTATGAACCCTAGGGGGTTCGGATCTTATATCCGAAACCCCCTTAGTTTTCTTCTTCTTTAATTTTATTTGTTTTTCTCTCTGGTTGAATGTTTTCCCAATTAGTTTCCTTTGGAGTTTAATTTTGTTATTTTTAGTTTGGTTTGCTATTGTCGTGAGCACTGTCAAAATTTTGCTTCTGAATTATTGCGAAGTTTTTCAATTCAAACAAAGGCTTGATTAAGTTCGTCCAAGCATGAAGTTGATTTCACTTTTGCACTGTTTGAGTTCAAGTTTTTCACTTCCAATGAATTTCGCATATGGTGAAATAGCAATTCTGGTAGTAATTTACTTACCAAGAATTGTATTGAGTGGTTTCTCCACTCGAATGGTTCAAAGTGGTTTGGCAGTGAGCATAGCAAATTTTCTAAGGGAACTTTATTTAAAGTATTTCGTATGGTGTGGGGTCTGTTCTTGGAAAAAAACTACATTTGAAATCAGAATTTTTTTTAAGGGAATAATGAAACTTTTGTGCTTGAAGTTAAACATGTCTATGTGTTTGAACTTTACCAACAAGTTTATTATTCTTAAAAGAATTTAAGCTTTTGCTACTTTTAAATTTATTCAAAGGTGTTTGAGAACTATTTTTCAATTGATTTTACTTAAGTTGGGTCAAATTAGGATCGCGACCTAATCCAATTTAAAATGATATTCTTTTAAAGTCCAAAGTGCTTTAAATAGCCGAACTTTTCTAGAAACCAAGTGTCACTTGATTAACCTGGGCTGCCTCGTTAAGTGGTTTTTGCTAATCAAGGTTCTCAAACTGATTTTGTTAAATAACCTTCGTGTTACTGCAAGATTGTTACGGTGATGTTTTCCACAAATCTTAATGCACTATTCTTAGTAGTAATCTAAGGGTTGCTCTTTGGGTTGCTAAGGGTAGTAGGGTTTAGAGTTAGGGTTGGTCCTAACATGAGCTTTTATGAATGGGAAAATAGGAAAGAACCGTTGGTGGACCTCTTTTTCAGCCGGACCCTTGTCTTAATTTATAGTTGGTTGATGATTATGCTAGTTTTCAACAAAGTTTTGATCCTGGATATTTATTTTTTATATTATAAAACATTTTGTTGGTTTTCTAAAATTGTTTAAGTCTCTAAATTATTGTGTTATGGGTGCTTGTCTTTTTCGTTTGGGCTTTTTGGTGGAGTTATGTTCTGTTTTTATCCTTGGTTTGTTTTGAGATTTGTTCTGGTGTGGTGTGTCACTTTAGTTAGTTTTTTACTTTATTTAGAAAACAATTTTCAAACCCCCCCATCTTTTAATTTAGTTTATAGATTTTAGATAGTTGTTTTCACTCAATAAAAAGTGACAAAGTAAACCGATTTTCATAGCCTAAAAAAAAAGTCTTTCTTCGTGGGATCGACTCTTACTTATCCTATCTATAGATTTAATAAATATTATTTTTACAAGAAGGAGTTAAGTAAAGAAAAATAATAAATTAATTTTTAGGTGCTACGACACGCCTAACAAAGACACGCGATCGATCAACATTTGTCAATAAATAGATGGGTTCGGGTATGCTTGAGAGGACGAAGAATACCATACTCATTCTAGATACCAACGTCTTCTCCAATTAGAGTATTTTGGTATACTCTAAAATAACTTAAATCTGAAAACAATTACACGATTTGTTATTCAGTCTATCACGATTTTCACGTCTCTTCACTTTAGGTAGGTAATTTACGGTGGGTAAAGTAAGGTAATTTGGATATTTATTAGGTAATATGATGTAGGTAAACAAGAAAATTACTTAAATACTCGTGCTTGTTTTTCAGATTCTTTCCTTTTTCAGACATCGTTGAAAAAACATTCACGTACTTTCTGGAGTAATTTAAAAATTACTTTCAGCATCCGTCATTGATTCTCCAAAAGAAACATGTACGCATTATCCAAAACTAAAGCCACTGATTTCATAAGATATTTTTCTTCCCTTCATTTCAAAAATAACATAAAAAAACATTAAAAAAACAAAACATGATCTTTCAAAAAATAGACAAATGAAAATAAAACTTCCAAATAAACAAATTAAAAAAACCAGAAAAACACAGCATCTCGGTAAGTAGTTCATCTTGGGAACTAATTTAGGAAAAACACATAATCATTGAGTACCATTTTAAGAATTTACTCATTACAAAATCCATAAAAGAGTCCAAAAATCTAACGAATAAATAATATAGCATCACAATTCATAAATTGATATAAACAAAGTGGTTGAAATACATACTGATATATACCACAGGATGCAACATAAAAAACACGCATGAAAAACAGAAATAATTATTCTTTCAATATCCAAAAGAATAGTTACTGTATGCTAACACCGTTCTTACCTACTCGTGATCTTTATTCAACTAGAAAAGCAAGAACCCAAATATAGATGCATCCGGGTAGTTTTGTGGGCATATATTGCAAGAATTTTCTAAAGGCGCCTTGTGAACTAAGACACTTAAGCTAGTGGATCCATGTAGTATATATTGAAAACTCAAAAGAAAACTACAGCTGAGTGAGAGCATACACTGTTTTGAGTAGCAATATTCAGTGTTCTGAAAAGAAATTGTTCAATCAGTCTTCAGTTGCAAATCTCAATTTCAAAAGAAAATACTGTACAAGATTTATATGTGAAGAAACAAACCTGACAAGTTCAGTCTCATCGGAAGAGATCCGGTAGTCGATCGACCAATGGAACAAGTACACAATGATAGCCATCCCTAGCCTAATCAGGACTTACCACCTGCTTTCTTCTAACCATCTCCTCCTCAATTTCCCAGCCACAATGATAAATTTATATGAAAAAGCATCAAATTATATATGATCGAATTATGTATGTATGTATGTATGTATGTATGTATATATATATATATATATATATATAGTCTTTTTAATGAAATACAATAATACATTGTCTAAAAGCATGAACCCTATTATAGACAACTTTGCAGTCAGTGTACTTTGGAATTGCAGAAGCACTTCTCTTCATAAAGCATTGGAACTGATATACAAACCATGAAGAGCGATGTTCATAGCAGTTCAAAGGCGTTGGTGGTAGCCCTGGAACAAGCCACGAAGCCATAACCCCGCAAAATATATCTTTCAAACTCTAATGCTTCTGTAGATTTAATAAGTTGACAAAAATAGTTGCTGGGAATGATTCAAAAAGCAAAGGCCTTGGAAATAGAATCACTTCACGTTCATTGCTGCAGCCATGCTTCTCAATTTTTGAGAAACTTCAGAAAAAGATGGTCTTTCTGAAGGATCAGAAGCCCAGCAACTTTCCATCAGGGACTTCCATTCAGGATCACACCACGTTGGAACTTGAGGGCGCAGGGAGTTGTTTACAATACCTCCTACATATCATTAAACACACAATACTGAGAACAAATCAAATCATTTTTGGATAAGGAAAAAACACTAGCAAAGTTAATACAAGAATGCAGCAAATAGCACGGTGGGAAACTGTCATAGCTGTTAACTAATTCCATGGCCATAGGTATGAGTCACAAATATTTACTTGTTGCCTTTTAAGGAAATAAATGTATGGCTCACATCATTTCTCTTTCATCTAAACAACTTTTCAAAACTTTTGTTAATCTAAGAGAAGTCAAATAATGAAATTTGCTTTGGGGCGGAGGGAGTATAATAAAACAGCAAGGACCTGCCCAATAGGGTGGAGAAGTAGTTTCCAGAAGACCCACAGCACAAAAGGATGCAAAGAAAGTAGCCATGAACAGATACAGATCACGGGTAAGCCTAAATCAGATATGGGAAGAGAGATGAGAGAGCAACAAGGAGGCAAGCAGCCCACCAAACACATAAGACTACCACAGAATTATCCTAGATGCTACAATACAGTACCCCACAAAATTTAAACTACCTCCTACAACCCAAGTCACCCATAGTCAAGGAACAACCTCAACCACAAGCTTAAGCTTGTAGTTGTAGGCGCAAGATAGGTTTTATACTCCAGCACCCATAAAGCCCACCTGCCCTACTACTTTAATCGCTGCCCACAACATAATCAAGACAGGGTTTTTAATGAAATACTATTTTTACTGATTGCCAGCTGCTTCATAAAAATTAAATGTTCTTTGAATTTAAACAAAAAGAAACTTGTTGACTCCTTTTGCAAGAGCAACATATTTGGATTCTTTAAAATGATTTTGTAAAACTTGCCTAAGAACAAGTTATAAAAATATTTCTTTAATATAAAGCTAACCAAATATGTCATTTTTTAATGTCATGCGATGTAATAAAAGTTTTACTTCAAAATATCTAGTGCTACAAGCTCTACTTGAAAGGTTATCCAAACACAATCTAGTTAATTAGTAAGGAGTATATGCCATAGGAATAACGGGTATCAAAATTTAATTCTTGTCAATTCAGGCTTGAATTTTGTTTTACTTTATGGTAATCAGAATATCCAGGTTACTGGGTTGGCCTACAATACAAATGCTCGTGAAATTCTTTGAGGACTACAAAGAAAGAAGCTTGAGAAAGAGGCCCAGTGTGCATGTTGTTGTATACTGTGAAAGGGTGATACAATGTATAAATTGGAGAAAACCTTGTGTTAATTGTGTATTCATGGGGTTAACAATATTCACCCATCTCTCATAAGTTAGAACACATAAACTACACTACTTGCTACTGTCCGATAAAGTCCTATTAAAATACTTGTTTTTGCCCCAAGAAAAGAGCCCTTTTCATTAATCAAAAAGTACTTATAGACTGCAGAGGGCAAGGAATCCTGTTAAACTCTGTGATATATGGATTAGAGACCCTACCTTTCATAACATTCTCAGGAAGACATGGGAAGTTAAGGTAAAGAGTTGTTTGATGTATCAGGTGGTTAAGAAGGTGGCAATGTTTAAGAGGCAATTTCAAATTTAGGAAGCTCAATAAAGATAACTTTCTCTCTATATATGCCCAGTGTGATGAGAAGAGGATCCAGTTTTATGAGGTCTAGAGGAAGTTGCAAGAAGATTTTGGTAATAAGGATATGATCACAGCAGAAAACCACCTTTTACAGGACTTTCACTAAAAACTGACTGCTTCTCAGTCATTGAAACTTCAACAAGCTAAGAATGAATTGATACTTGATGGGGATGAAGACTCTACAAGTATTTATGTTTGGGTGAAAAGGAGAAGACTGCAAATCTGCAATCTCAGTGTGACTACTATCCATGAGCCATCTGGTATATTCAATGGAAGGAGGTTGTGCAGATTTATTTTTTTTGACATTCATAAAGATATGCTGGGGGTTCCTAAACACACTAGCAGGGTAAGCAAAGGACCTGTTTTGTCTGTTCACCAGCAGCTGTTGTTATTGAAGCCAGTCCCTCCTAGTCATATTAGGGAGGCTTCCTAATATGAAGCCCCCAGGACCAGATGGTTTTCCTGCGGTTTCAACCCCAGTGGGATATTGTGGCCAGGTTAGTCACTAGTGCTGTAATGCTGTTATGGGGTTTTTTTAGAAGTGGGAAATCCAAAAACAGATTAACCATACCGATGTGTTTTTGAAGCCCAAAGTTGAATGCGCTGTAATATAGAGCCATCTCTTGCTGCAATGTAATACTCTGTTTACAAAATCATTTCAAAGATTCTGAGCAACAGGTTGAAGGATGTACTTTCAGGTATACCCATCTTAACCACGGAGCTTTTGTTAAAGGTAGAGACCTCTTCCATAATGTACTTTGTTAGAGTATAAAACCTTTACTGGGCCTACAACCCCAAGCTTGAGTTTTTGGTTGAGTTGGTTCCTTGACATGGTATCAAAAGACCAAGAGGTCAAAAGTTCGAACCTCACCGCCATCCTGTTTTAAATATTAGTGCTCATGTGCAAGACTCGAGCAAAAACGAATCTCGCCTGCACAAGCTTGAGCTTTTGAATGAGTTGGTTCCTCGACATACTTTGTCAAGAACTTGCAAGAGGTTATAACCAGAAAGGAATCTCCCCAAGCTGAATAATGATAAACAACATTAGAGTGTCAAAAAGCTTTTTGACAGCGTTACTGGAAGCTCATCATTTTCCTAAGCCTTTCTATAACTGGATTTTATGTGGAGTTACAATGATGAATGAACTTTTACTCCATTATTCCATTTCCATGTCCCCTTTGCTGTCTGCACTGGTGATGGACTATCAAACTAGAACTTTGATTTACTTTGCTCAAGTGAAGAAATTTGGTTTTCATCCCATGTGCAAAGGTCTCAAGTTGTCTAGCTTGGTTTTTGCTTATGACTTAATTGTGTAAGGCCAATCATGAATGTTACGGTGTGTGTTGGAAGCCTTAGACCACTTAACAAATGTTAGTCTCATAGTTGTGGTAGGTTTAGTCTGTTGTGTCTATTAGTATTCAGCCATGTATGGGCGTGGAATTATTTGCCTTTGAATCAAATTGATCCGGATGGACTTATACGTTAATTTTTGCTTCAACTACTACTACAACAAATCCAGTATAATCCCAACTTTATGTTAAATTTTGCTAATCAAATAAATATAAAAACAAAGCTATAACTTATGATTCAAAATATTGAACCTTACTATGATTAAGAAGTTGTACCTTGGCAAAACAAGATTCTTTATAGACGGACAGAGTATATCTGCATAAGCTTGCTAGAAATGTAATCTATTCTAGGACTTCTAAGTAACATGGTGAATATACTATAGACTATTGGGTGGATGGATTAATAAAGCGCCTTAAGCGCGTAACAATGCATCCAAACATAATGATAGTCTGTTTCGAAGATATCGATCCCTCCATGCCCGTGGCGTGGAGGAGAGAAAGCACAGTCCTTGACTAGCTTTTCACAATTAGAGATTTGACTTCAGCCATTGATGATTTTATTATTGAATACAACATATGTATTTATACTAATCCTAAAAATCAATCTTTGTGAGCAAGTTAATACAGTTCAAACCTAATACGGAGTACAATATTGCTATTAGGAATACAACAACAACCCAGTTAAATCCCGGTCTGGGGAGGGTGTGTGTACGCAGACATTACCCCTACTCGAAAGTAGAGAGGCTGTTTCCAAAGAGACACCCGGCTCAACGTCGAAAGTTGCATTGCTTGACTAACTGCTACTTCATTAATTAATGAAGCACAGACAGTTTAGAGATCCATTTTGATTTATTCCATCACACCCAAAGCCAAAAAATGGTGAAATTTTGGCTCCATCGGAGATGATGGAAAAATATTGCTATTAGGAATATTAAGTAAAATAGAGTACTAATATTAATACTCCCTTTGTTCAACAAAAAAGTTCCACGTTGGAATCGCCACGATTATTAAGAAATGTAAATTGAGTCACAAAAATATTTCTACAAATGGAAAGTGGAACCTTTTTATGGACTAGAGGGGGTAAGAACTATTACTAGCTATTGAAGTTCCCACATTAGAAAATAACGAACAATACCACTAGCATATATTGAAAGGTGAAGCCCTACCCATCAGCTTAAGGTTTTGGGTTAGAAAATGGATCCCGACTTTATATGTAAGTGGTAATTTTACCCGACACTCCGTCTGTTGTTCTCGACCCACCACAACTTTAACACCACCAATACCACTGATAGACAAATGACTAATAATATTACTAATAATAATTATAATAGTGATAAAAATAGTAATAATAGTAATAAAAATAAAAGTAATAATAATGGTAATAATATGGAACAAATTCTTATTTTACTAAATAATACTCCATATGTCCCCTTTTTATCTTCACTTTCCTTTTCTGGATGTCCTTAATAAATCTTTTGACTTCTTTTTTTAAAGAAAAAACTATATGGTTCACATGA